ATCTAAGTTTGTCTTTTATTGCAGCTTCTACTAACAGATCTAGAAGATTTTGTTTCTATACATAAAGTTTTAAAAGATTTATTTAAGTTTCATTATTGCAAAATTGACCATCAAATGTAAGTTTTGAACAATTAAGAAGTCTTTGAGGTGGATTTAAAATATAAAATCAATTTAAACATTTTTTTCATAGCAAAAGTAAAATGAAAACTTTAGAACACTTTGTAATTACGAGTATTTTTAATAGCCACATTGAAGGAGACATTCTCAATATTATAAAGTATTATAGATTGTGCTTTTAATTTTCAAATATATTTTTTTAAATGATATATTGAACTTAAAATTATAAGCACATACATATATCTTCAAGAATTTGACAGAAAATTTTAGAATTACATGAATGAAAATTGTTATATACAACTTTTGTTTCTTTTTTTTTCAATACAAACGAAGAGGAATTAACGACAATACATGTTTCATAGTTAAAAAACTTTTAAATAAATAAGTTTTACAATTTAAAACAGTATAAAATGTAGACAAAAGAAGGATAAGCTACTTTAATGTTAAAAAACCATTCAAACTCAAATATGTTCTATTATATAATAATATAATGTAAGACATAATTGGAAAGATTTCTTTATACTCCTTTTTTTATGCTAAATCGAAAACAAAAAAAAGGTAGAATTTGTTAAAAGAAAATTGATGATTCGTTATTGATACTTTGTAATAATTAACATTCGTCTCAGAATGTTTTAAAAAGTACCCTATTTATTTTTTTTTTAATTCAACATATAATACTTTACCAGATAAAGTTATTTGTAGATTAAAATAGCTCTTGTTCTTACATATGTAAACATAAAAAAGTTTATATATACAGCGGTGAGGCAATAACTATGTACACCTTGAATATTGCCGTTATTTGTAATAATATGAAAAAATGTTATATATAAAACTTGCTCGGTATAGAGGGGGACATATTGTGATATAAACATTTTTTGCGTGAGTGGAGGTATAGACGAGATTTCAAGATCATCTCTATTTTTTTTAAACAGAATGCTATGTTTCTTTTTATCGCGATGTGATAGTCGGTGTTGAGACGACTTCAGCAAGCTAGCATTGAAGGTCATGCAAGGTCAAATGTGGTAGTAAAATAAACTTACTTACATTACGGGAGATGTTCGAAGTGCTGACCGTTTGCGTGAATGCAAAGTTGCAATCTTCGTATCGCTGCATCACGTGCATGTCTCATCGTCTTTGAACTTATTCTAGCATATGCTGTAATTACCCGTTGTTTCATATTTTCTGGCATAGTGGGTACTTCTTGATAAACAACGTTTTTCAATGCTCCCCAGAGAAAAAAATCTAATGGAGTTAAGTGTGGAGAGCGAGCTGGACAAGAAACTAATCCTCCACGTCCTATCCATCGATTAGGGTGAAGTTCGTTAAGTGCATCTCTTACTCTCCGAGCATAATGTGCTGGACATCCGTCGTGCTGTAACCACATCATTTGGTGAACGTTTAGTGGTACATTTTCTAATAAAGTCCCAAATTTACTTCGTATAAAGTGTTCATATCGTTCGTCAGTAAGATTTCTGTCGATAAAATGCGGTCCGATTATTTGATCACCAACTATTCCACATCACACATTAACTAACCATTGTTGTTGATGCTCAACTTGTCGTAACCAGTGTGGATTATCGATACTCCAGTAATGCATATTATACAAATTGAGATTTCCATGGTTAGTAAACGTAGCTTCATCAGTGAACAGTATTGAAGAAACAAATGTTTCATTCATCTGTATTTTATGTAGAGCCCACTGACAAAATACGACACGATTCATAAAATCCGTACCGTGTAAGTCTTGATGGAGAGAAATTTATTCCGTGCAAGGATTCGTAGGACACTCCTCCTACTGATAGCTGACTCACGTTCAATCTGTCGGGAATTACTCTACGGGATATGAGTTACAATTGCAAGAACGCCAACTTCATTTGCTTCATCAGTTGCTCTTTTACGACGACTGCTCTTACGTGTACCTAAATTTCCGGTTTCTTTCAATTTTTTGTACAATCTTTGAAATGTTCGGTGCGAAGGATGTGTACGGTTTGGATATCGTTCAGCATACAAGACTTGAGCTCTTATAGAATTTTGTCGCATTTCTCCATAAATAAGGATCATATCCACTTGCTCTTCAGAAGAAAACTTCTTTTGGATGGTCACACTGCTACTTGATTTACCAATCGATTGAAACTGACTATCGATATGTCATGTTAATATTACGAACTGCCGGGATGTTTACATTTCTAGCTACACGCGATGTATTGTCACAACATAAACAATGTTACAAGACCATTCGTTTACATGAAAGTGAGGATCTATGAAATACAGCATGTGCTAGAATAAGTTCAAAGACGATGAGACATGCACGTGATGCAGCGATACGAAGATTGCAACTTTGCATTCACGCAAACGGTCACCACTTCGAACATCTCCTGTGATGTAAGAAAGTTTATTTTACTACCACTTTTGACCTTGCATGACCTTCAATGCTAGCTTGCTGAAGTCGTCTCAACACCTACTATCACATCGCGATAAAAAAAACGTAACATTCTGTTTAAAAAAATAGAGATGATCTTGAAATCTTCTCTATACCTCCACTCAAGCAAAAAATGTTTATATCACAATATGTCCCCTTCTATACCGTGCAAGTTTTATATATAACATTTTTTCATATTATTACAAATAATGGCAATATTCAAGGTGGACATAGTTATTGTCCCACCCTGTGTGTGTATATATATATATATTACTTTTAGATAGTAATTATGATATATTTTTTCTTTTTAAGGGAACTTCTTCTTATGTTTTATAAAAGTACCGGAGGGTATAAACCACTCAGGATAATTCTTTATCGGGATGGTGTCTCAGAAGGCCAGTTTTTACATGTTTTGCAACATGAATTAACTGCTATTCGAGAAGCTTGTATTAAACTTGAAGCTGACTACAGACCTGGAATAACATTTGTTGTAGTACAGAAGCGACATCATACTCGCTTATTCTGTGCTGAGAAAAGAGATCAAAGTGGCAAAAGTGGAAACATACCAGCAGGTACAACAGTTGATGTTTGCATAACGCATCCAACTGAATTTGACTTTTATTTGTGTAGTCATCAAGGTATTCAGGTAAACTTAAAACTCTTTATTTAATTATTTTTTGTGAAATTTATTATATATTACATATTGCATTTATACATATTATAGGGCACGTCTCGACCATCACATTATCATGTACTATGGGATGATAATCACTTTGATAGTGATGAATTACAATCTCTTACTTATCAACTATGTCATACATATGTCAGGTGTACAAGATCTGTTAGTATACCTGCACCAGCATATTATGCTCATCTCGTAGCATTCCGAGCCAGGTATCACTTGGTAGAAAAAGAGCATGATAGGTAAGTAAAATTTTATATCCATAATTTTATGTTTCAAGTATAAAATGTAAATTTATAGCAAGTGCAAAAGGATTTAATATTTAAATATTATATTGTCAAAAAATAGAAAAAAAAGTATAAATAATAATGGATAAAGGGATTTATATTAAAAGTCTCTATTTCACGTGTATTTAAATACATGTATGCATTTATGTACACGTGTTTTAAACGTAACCGTACTACAATCCGTGCAATTTTTACTACACGAGTACCCGTGTATTTCAAGATTTCTATTTCACGTGTATTTATCTCTTTTTTTTTTTTTTTTAATCTCTGTTCCCGTGTATCAGGTTGAAATTTGTTATTGTTATCTGCAACCTGACAATTTGTGAAGTCATTTTTGTTTTCGCAAATTACTCCAGTATATATACTTAAATACTCGGGTATCCATATATTATATTAAAAATTACAGGAATTAAAATACGTGTGCACGTGTATCTTCCATACACGTTCAAAGCCATGATCTCTGATTTATATGTATATAGCATTTTGTATAGATTCAAGTTTATTTAATTTAAACAGAGATATTTTTTCTAAAAGCAAAAATACAGTCAATACACACTGTTTATTCGAAATTGTTATATGATTCAATAGTATTAATCCGTATATCTCATCCGTATAATAATCAACTTCTGTTAGAATCGGGCGATCTCTAAGTTTTAAGAGTGTAATCAGCAAGTTTACAACTTTTAAACATCTGACTATGTTCCTACGAGAGTGAAAGTGTTTTCCGAGCTCAAGGGGTTGAATGCTTGTAATTATAAATTATAAATATGTATGGCGTGAGCCCGTGTGTATTTAGCAAAGGTACTGTTTGTAAAAAGTTTATATAAACGTTATCGAGTTTAAAGATCATCAAACTTATTTTACAAGTAGCAAGATTCAAAAAACTGTGACAGGTAGTTGTCTCAGAAATTGTTGTAAATATTGTTGTTGCTGTCCTAAGCAAAGATGTGATACATAAGTTTTGATAGTTTCTGATTTCTCGTGCATGCGAAATGGTATTAATATATATACACACGAATAGAAATGTGTAATAGTTTCTGAAAAAATGAACCATGTTTTAACAAAGAGTACACGTGGCCTTGGAACAATCTTTCAAATTTGATTTTCTCAAAAACTAAGTTTCAGTTGAAAAAAATTTATTGTGTATTTCAATTTAATTTTTCACGAGGAATTACTTTCTAGTTCGATTATACTAAGAGTTTGTCTCCACCCTGTATATCAACCATATGTAAAAATTTAAGGATCGACTATAACGTCATCATATTATTCCAGGGAAATTATACAGCGTGTTCCGTTTAACTGGAAAGGCACGAATCTCGTAGACCGTTGACGATATGAAAATATTGTTATCATGAAAGTTGGAGGGGGATTGCGCAATGTAAATAGTTTTTTTTTTTTTTTTTTTTGTATGAAATTGAAGAGATTTCATCCAATTAATTTTTTTACATGGGATACTATATATCTTTATTCATAATATGATAGCGTTTATTAAGACGAATACGACGATGTGCCGTATAAGATTATTAAATGCAGAGAAGATCATAAATTAGTAAGATCTCAAGGAGTCAGGTCAACGCGAATCGCAAGTCGTCAACAAGCTGAATTCTATGTGATCGTGTTACGGACACGAATTAGACCATTCAGTATCTGCTAAAGTGTCTGTTCGGGTGCTGTGTTTATGACCTTCTACTGTATTAAATGAACTTATGCGGCACACCGTTGCACTCGTCTTAACAAACGTTATCGTATTATGAATAAAGATGTATAGCATCTGTTTAAAAAATTAAGTTGACCTTGAAATCTCTTCAATTTCATACAAAAAAATATTTATAGCACTCAATGTCCTCCTTCATATTAAACAACTTTCATAATAACAATTTTTTCATATCTTCAACGGTTTGCGAGATATTCGTGCGTTTCCAGTTAAATGGGATACACTGTATGGCAATACCTATTTTGCTTAAATTTATCTGTAATATATTTCTAATTAATTTTCATACATAGTTTACTTGTTTTTTATAATATTTTTAATATTTTCGTTAACGTATGCATTTCAGTGGAGAAGGATCTCATCAATCTGGCTGCAGTGAAGACAGAACACCAGGTGCAATGGCAAGAGCTATCACAGTTCATGCAAACACAAAACGGGTTATGTACTTTGCATAATTCTTCTTTGAACTTTTCTTATACACATGCAACTAATACCACAAAATGATAATCATCATATCTTGCACGTGGATATTTCTAGACTACTTAAATGCTAGACAATCTTCTTGAGTGGTCAATTTTTTTGCTTACTTTTATAATCAAACAAGTCTGTCCAATACCTAAGGTAGGCCGAACAATGTTATATTAAGCTCCGTTTCTTTCTCTTTTTTAATGTCCTATTTAATATACTTGTATTGTTGACTAGGTTTTGGGCAGATTTTCTAAAAATTCTAGTGAGTAGGTTTTAAAAGAGATGCTTTTAGTTAATCATGTTTTAGATTGACGCAGCTTGACTGATAGGTTGTTTCGCAATAAAGACCACATAAACGAACAATTTATGAAACAAATCACCTGCGGTACATATTACGCTTATTTTTTTAGAGGTTGAATTACCTCTAGCATTTGTAGGATACAAAAAATAGCACGATACAACATAAATTCATGATTATAGAAATCGCTCTTGCGAAATTGTTATCTTGTTGTTTATGTGTAATTATCATTTGAATCAGCCACTTTTTTGTACAAAAATTGTAGACTTATAAATCATGCGACGATAAAATATTGGCATGTACTATTTTCATGATTAACACGTTCGCTGCCATCGACGCAGCATATGGGATGCAGAATGTATTGCCCAGCGTGCTACCGATTTTCTGATGACAGCGAACGCGTTAAACATATTTGTTATTATGCTCATGAGACTATGATTCTTTACAAATATATTTGTCGTATCTATCATATTTATCATAAGCATTAAAAAATTTGGCCACATCAAGTAATGAATTGTCGCTAGGGAGATGCAAATGAATAAAAGATTTGTAAATGTTTATTGTCAAGGTCTCCGAGTCAATGGCCAAAGTAAGTTAAGAATCTGTAATAAAATCCAAAGTTGTGGCGAGTTGATAAAACACAGTGTTATGTAATGTGTTTAGTGCTGTAAAAAACATTATGCCACATTTGCAAAATAATATCTTTTATATGGCATGAATTTCAATGAGTCTAAATCTAATGTCATTTTTGGGATTGTTTAAGAGACTTAAAACATTGGCCTGAACAAAAGCAAATCAAGAATTTTTCACGTGACTAGTAACGACTTGAAATTAATCATATATGATTAAAAATTATTCTTTATAGTTAATAAAATGATTTTATATCATTGAATTATTATTGCATAAAAGTGTAGTATATTACCTTAAAGAATTTAATATTATTAATCGAAACTCCAGGGATGCATATGTTTTACTCGATTTATTTTAGTTTCACTGACATTCTTTGCATGTGGAACGAGAATTATGGTGTAGCTTGAACTGTGGTAGTACCTTATTCATATCAACTACACATTGACATAAACATTTTGACGAAGGTAAACAAATACTTACCTTTTATCTGGTGTTTAAAATATGAAACATCTCTTCAGGCAAAACAACTATTTTTAAGTTGAATCTATATGGCATTAGATCTGGGCTGATAATGAAGCCCTATGGATGCAAAAAGTTATTTAAATAAAAATAGAATAGGGGTAATTTAGTAATTGCAAAATAGATCAGAAATATGTGACATTATTAGGATAAGTTATGTTTTATTTGTTATATAATGCAAATCTTAAGGTCCTGGAATTTTTATTCTAAGAAATTCTTCATTCATGATTTACATGTAAATGGAACCTATTTAAATGGAACAATAATCTTAACCGACATAATGCTTGTATTAAAAGCTTCGCAACAACTACAACATAGGGGCAATAGGTAGGGTAATGAAGTGTATAAGTGTACCGATGCCGTACCCACAAATTGTTTATTGTGTATCGTTAGAATCGTTAATACACTAGTGAAATTTTAGATAATTTTCTTCTGAATATAACACGTATAATTCTTTAATTATAGCTTTATTTTCTTCAGCAAAACAGTATTAATAACAACTAAATACCACGTTATTACATGTTTAAAAAAAAAGTAATTAATTGGGTTCTATAAATTTTATTTAATCTAGGACCTAATTCATAAAAGGACATCTAAATATAAATGTCATGCTCAAGTCTTAAATTTGATTAAAATATGGGAAAATAAAACAATTTATTTCAAAACATTATTAATATTGATATTGCTATTTGGAAAATAGTGGTGCAAGATAGCTCTTGGAGTTTGCAGAACTTTGTGTATTAATGGTTCTAATTTTAGATTTACAAGTGATATAATGTTAATATTATCTCGGAAAGTATGAAAAGGACCTTAATCTATCAATAATATTTATTCTAGTTATAAATTTAAGTCTAATGTAGGATACCACTTACAGTTGTAACATTTAATACCTAGTTTCTGACTTCGTGACAGATTAGGTAACTTGTTAAATATGATTTGAGCATATGTAAAGGTTGGAGTATGATCTTTGAACGTTCGCAGCGATAGTTCAGTGATTAAATCAGTTCCAAATAATTGAAAGCAGCGGATAAGTATATGCAAGTAGTAAAATCAGTACACAAAGTAGAAAAAATGGCAAGTCTCAATCAACGAGAAGATTAAAAAAATTATTATTCACGTTACTAAGGGTGTGAAGGAACCAAAATGTCGAACGTGAAAAGTTTAATTATTAGTGAATTACGAATCTATTTGGATCGTAATGAGGCCATACAGATCTATTAGATTTAAGTCAATCGAAGTGCTGCAGAAAGCAGCATACATACAGGGTGTTCAAAAATGGTTCTGCCAAATTTTAAGGTTACGTAGTGGTAATACTTGTTAAAATAAACAAAAAAGGGTTTAATAAACATGTGTTTCAAAATTATTTGTTTCAAAATTATAAGACATTTTATTGTTCGATTGGTTTTTATGAGGCAGTTTACAAAGTGTAGCATATTGTGTACCAGTTTCTAAGATATTGGAATTAAAATAATGATTAGATAAGTTATCACAAAATAAAAGAAAGGTCTGTGATTTTTAAAGTATACAATTTTTTACGAAATTTGCTTAATCCTCTATTTAAAAAAATGGTGCATATTTGTTGTAGACATTAACATTCATAAACATTTATAAACATTCGATTAAATGAAACCTTTTATTACTTTGAAATAAATAATTTTGAATTCATGTTTATTAAACATTTTTTGGTTATTTTAATAAGCACTTCATGCTTTTAATATTCGGTACAACCTTTGTTTAACATCCTGTATAATCAGGATGCAAGTAAATACCAAAATTGAAAGATAAAGTAGAAGTGTCATTTTCATTCATCGTATGATGAGATTTCTTTCTTAAAAGTTTACGATGGTATTTGATATTTTCCTGTGCCTGATTAAGAACTAGCCTCCATTTGTAAATATACCTCAGTAACTTATCCATAAATCATTTTCCCATTTAGTAATTAATGCTCGGTGGGCAATCTTTGTAATTCTTACAAAGATTTTTGTAATTTTCAGTTTAACACGATGAATTAAGATATTAGTTATACATTGTTTAGTGATTCTTTTAATTTGATACAACAGTTTGAATTGAAAGAAAAAAAATCGGTTGAATATTCAGTTTTGATAACACAAACGTACACCAGCGCGTCGTAAACTTGTACCTAACACAATAAAAAAACCATGAAGCAATTTAAAAAAAAAAACCTTCGAAGAAACGGGTTTATGAAATGAACTTTACTTAGTGTGTAATAAAATAACCGGGTCTATTCAGAAAGCAGAAGAGTTTACTTCCTACCATGAGTCCCAGACATTTTAAAATAAGGCAAATAATTTATATTTGTATACCTATATTATATATATTATATATGTATATGTATACATAATGTATACATATATATGCATATGTGAAGATGAAGCGATTTGCATTTGTTAACAAATGCTGCGTGCAAAGAATACATATGAATTATGCAACAATTCCAGGTGTAAAATGCCGATAAATATCCTTGTATTTCGAAAAGCTTTACAAGTTACATTGTAATTAATTGTATTTATAAATGATCAATTTTCGTAATTAATAAGTTGCCTCATCTTTAAAAAAAGATGTCTATTATTCCCAAAAGGTCGTAACCGTCAGTGTTTTTAAGTGGCGTTCATCGGTAAACTTAATATGAAGATTAAGTGAATCGATTTCGATAAATCATGAATTACTGATACGATTGAATGTCTATTAAATGATTTTACAGTATTAATATTAATTCATCATCAATTCCACTGTAATACCTTCTTTGCACAAAATTTCGTAGGTAAATTGCGATCCTTTGTTTTAGCGTTTGTAAGTGACTCGCAAAGCGCCACCAAAGACCTTGACGTTGCAATATTATGATTTTCGATGAATTCTATTTAGGCTTAAAATTAAAAAAAAAGAAAATGTATTAAGAATTTTAATACGATCTGTCAATGTTAAACGGATATTGGTCGACTTCTAGGAAGTGCAAATAACTGGAAATACAATAAGGTTTTGGGAGAATCGAAACTTGTATATAGAGTAATGAACAAAAGTATTGGGACAGACAACTTTTTCTTATAGAACTGTATATAATTACGGAAAATATCATTATTTCTTTCTTATTCGTTTAAATTATACTTGTAATAAACTACAAATGTTAAGTTGTGCAAAGAAAAATAGTAAAATTTATACCGAGAGATAGTTGCACCGAAACAAAAGTATTAGTCTTGTCATTTCTGAGCTTGTTATATATCATTTTTGTAAAATTGCTTCTAGCATTGTTTTATCATATCAATATTTTTCTCCAAGTACTAATCTAATTCAGACCAAAGGTGTCGGTAATATGGTACATTAAAAACAATGTAAGCTGTATATTTTAGCCCGTTATTGTGTTAGAAATCTCAATTCTTTTTCAAATTTAGTTTTCCCATACATGTTCTCAAACTTTGTTTGTAGTGAGTATTTTCAATAGAAATAATTTTACAAAAGGAAAGTTTATAAACTTTCATACTGTTGTTTCAGTATGTTCATTTTTTATCGTTAAAACAATAGTTTACAAGCCTAATTACGATTATGATATACTGATTATAACAATGTAACATGCGTCTGTCATATTGAAAATATTTTGAATTCGATATTTT